TCTCATTTTGTAGTCCATCTCTTAGGCTAACTTAAAATATTGTTCGCTTCAGAGTTCAGACAAAGATTCGAAGAAACTACACATTAATTAATGATGTTAAATTTATTATTGCTTGTTATTCCCTCCGTTTACTTTTACTTGTCCATTATTTAAAAAATAATAATAGATTTTCGATTATACTTGGTACTTTTAACTTATCAAAAAGAGACCAAAACAAAAATTCCTAATTTACCATCAATATTGATTACTTCGTCCCCAAATCATTTTTCAAGATCCAAGTATAGATATCAATTAATATGAGTATTATGGTAAAACAATACTCATGTTAATCATTGTTTCTTAAGAACCATGTAAAATTAGAAGTAGACAACTAAAATGGAATTTGAAAGGTTAGCTTTTCCCACTAAGCCAATTGACTAAGAACTCTACATGTAGCTCAAACGACTTGACAATTAAGATACCTACATCTGGAGAGCAGATGTAAGTCCACATTTTACAAAACCCGAAGAACAAAATTATGGTGGAATTTGAAGGAATAGTTAACTTGGAAATCGAAGCAGCAACTCGAGAAGAGCAAATCTCAGAAGAGTGGAGAAGAGAGAAAATAACAGCATAGATTTTAGAATAAAAGATCCAAAAATAGAATGGACTATGAGTTGAAGTTAAGATGCTCATTGTAGAACCTTAACAACACTAACCATAATCTCCAACCCTAGAAAAACACATATACTTGCTTATTTCAAATGAAATGGTGCTTAATGTTTAATAGGCTAGAACATTAAAATACAGCCCCTTTCTACTAAGTGAATGGTAATCAACATATACCAAAAGGCACTGGCTAGTCACATATCTGCTACCACTTACCAGGTTCAGATATCCTTCTCAAAGATTAATAGTGTGTGTACATTTGTTATGGTACATGGTATATCAAGAACAAGTAATAATCCAGAGAAAACTCAAGGGAAACTTAACAGAAAATGACAATGAGACAAATATTAGAAAACCAGCAAAGCGAGCATTAATATAAAGATCTATTCTGCCAAAGATCTGGGCACAATAAGTTTTACAGCTTTTTCTATAATGAGGATGCAGATAAGATTTTTACATCAAGTGTGCTAATTAGATCTTAAGATAAGGTACGAAGGATAACGAACCTCTTGGGCCCTCTTAGGCAGGATGGCCATAGTTCACATGATCTCTTCATGTGTGATCGATTCTAACAACACTACCCCCAAAGCTAGCCATAGTCCACAGGATCTCTTCCTGTGATCGATTCTAACAACACTACCCCAAAGCTATAAACATCACTCTTTTCATTCAAGAGACCAGTATTTGCATATTCAGGAGCCACATACCTGTCAAATATTTGTAAGGATGTGAAATAATATAATACTGCAAAACTTCTGTTTCAACTTTTTATATCTAAAGAGGTAATAAAACAGGACACCAGAAGTTGAAGATTGTAAAATCCAGAAGACCAGAACATGAAGCAAGCTGGAATGGAATCAAAAGGAGCGGAAGGAAGAAACTAACCCAAAGGTTGACTCAAGTTGTGATATGACTTTTACCGGCACCAAGGAGTTTGGCCAGACCAAAATCAGAGACCTAACCATTGAAGTCATCATCAAATCAAATATATTACTTGATTTGATGTGTCGATAAACAACTTTGGGCTCAATATTCTCATGCAAATAGGCAAGACTGCAAGAAATGATAGCACAAGGAGAACTTACGCTTTAGCTGTCCCAAAATAGATTTATCTTAACTGAATGACCTTACGCTTTAGCTGTCCCAAAGAGAACCTTCATCCTAGCCTTCCAAGTGAGATACATGTGGTGTCGCATGGCTCCATGAAGTCACTGTTCCAAATTTCCATTGTTGACATACTCGTAAACCAACATCTTGTGGTGATGCTTTAGAACAAAGCATTTTCAAATGCTAAACAAGAATACTCATTCAATTACTTCACATGCGCATGAAAGTAATTGAACAATCTAAAGCTTCATATTTCGTACCCAGAAAAGGTATAGGACTATCAGGGACTGCCAAATGGGGAAATACATGTGCATTCCTTCAATGCAGTATCCTAGAAGGCTAACCAAGTTTTGTGACGTACGTGGCCAATGGCTTCAACCTCCACTTGAAACTCTTCTCTGGGACAAAGATCTTAAATTCAAACTCAAGTTGGCAACTAAAACAAAAGGACCATTAAAGAAAGCATATAATTTGATTTTATCAACTCAGAGATTGTTGAGGAACTTATTAATATCTACCAGTGTTCCATTAATCAAATTTCCGTGGTAGACCATGCCATATCCTCCCGCACCAAGAATATTCTCCTTTGAAAACCTTACTTCAAATCCTCCAAAAGTAGAGTCTTTTAGGATGATCCAACATGGTGCGCCAATACTTTTGAAGAGTCCGAGCAACATACTCTTCAAAAATGTCAATAGGTGCATATGGATCTTCCAAAAGTAGTGCATGTGTAATGAAATTGATCTTGGGTCTAACTCAACCCGAAAAGCTAGCTCATAGGGCGAGGATTGTCCAAGACCATCCAAGGCGACCAATTACCCGTCCATATCCGATATAGTACTCTCAATAGCTTTTTGGATGATTTGACATGAGTGTGACAAAACTTTTGAAGAGTTCGAGCAACCTAGTGAACAAGTACCGTACCCAGAAAAGGTATAGGACTATCAGGGACTTCCAAATGGGGAAATACCTGTGCATTCCTTCAATGCAGTATCCTAGAAGGCTAACCAAGTTTTTGTGACGTACGTGGCCAATGGCTTCAACCTCCACTTGAAACTCTTTCTCTGGGACAAAGATCTTAAATTCAAACTCAAGTTGGCAACTAAAACAAAAGGACCATTAAAGAAAGCATATAATTTGATTTTATCAACTCAGAGATTGTTGAGGAACTTATTAATATCTACCAGTGTTCCATTAATCAAATTTTCGTGGTAGACCATGCCATATCCTCCCACACCAAGAATATTCTCCTTTGAAAACCTTACTTCAAATCCTCCAAAAGTAGTCTTTTAGGATGATCCAACACGGGTGCGCCAATACTTTTGAAGAGTCCGAGCAACATACTCTTCAAAAATGTCAATAGGTGCATATCGGATCTTCCAAAAGTAGTGCATGTGTAATGAAATGGATCTTGGGCCTAACTCAACCCAAAAGCTAGCTCATAGGGCGAGGATGTCCAAGACCATCCAAGGCGACCAATTACCCGTCCATATCCGATATGGTACTCTCAATAGCTTTTTGGATGATTTGACATGAGTGTGACAATACTTTTGAAGAGTTCGAGCAACCTAGTGAACAAGTACCTTCCAGACAAGCCTGATTAATAACATAGATATAGAAGAGATAGAGCATACTTAATGTATAAAAAGCGTGTAGTTCATGTAGATGCAAAAAACACACTACTTTGGAAATTGCCTACTCGTCTTGGCATTCACTTAAGTCAAAATGACAGTAAATCTTAAAGCCATGCCCTTATTAACAACTTTGTCTTCATCAATTCCTAAAAAGAGAACAGTTGAAACGATTAAAAAAAAGATTAAAGGAAAACTAAGTATTTAGCTTCCAAATTCCCACTTCACAACAAGCAATACCATTGGCCATTTCCTCATCCCTATATTATGTAAAGTTATAACAGTTCATTTAATTCAAAGTTGTGTCGTCAAAGCACAGAAAGGTTGAGCTAGTTCATTCTGAAATTGGGGGTTCAATACTGATACACTTTCTGGCCCCCTTGGCATCAACCCTTAAATTTTCATACACAATCAATTCTCTTGAAAACCAAGTTCTAAAACTACCAGGACCAACACTACACCCAACAGAATAATAAACTACATGAATTCATGCTCCTACATAATTTTTCATCCCTCAAACCAAAATAGGTAGGATTGTAAATAAATGTTAATGACATTTATTGATTGCTAAATAGCCAAAAATACAAAAAGTTACTTACCTCATCTTCGTAAGAAAGATTCAACTTCTTCATCAAGTACTTTTAGATGAATAAACTGGGAATATTGTCATCCCTGCAATAGAATGTAAAAGATATGAATACAATCATGAGCTATGCATTTCAGTGAATATAAAAAAATGTGCATATAGTTGCTTCATCAAATTCTTCAGCAAAAAAGGTGCACACTTTATGCAATCAAACATGTTGAGCACCAACTTTCATTTTCAACCACAGAAGTTGTGAGATTCTATGGTTAAACTTTATATTCTGAGGCTAGATGACGTACAACTGTAAATACGTACGGGAGGTTCTCAATAAATCATAGATATGTTATTCACTTTAGATTACATTTCAGATGACTTGAAGGAATAAAACTAAATGTTAAGTTTGTAAGGAAGGTCATCCGTGCCTTTGCAGCCACGCAAAAAGGAAAGTTATATAGTAATCTCAAGCAATAGGAATAATTATAACATTGGCTATGAATTTAAGCCATCAAATTGGGAAATCTGACGATAACGGAGAGAAGATAGTATTGAGAGAAAAGCTAACCTGAAATAGCACAATTTAGATGAGAAAATGAAGAGAACTCAAAGAACTGTCTTGAAAAGAGAGTATCACTTGTTGCTTTGTGCAAACTATAGAAGTGTAAAAAGAAGCAGATTTGAACAAAAATTGAGAGAGAATCATTCCTTAAATTGTAAAAAAAAGAGCTAAAAGTTTTCTTATGAGTTCTCTGTTTTGTTTCCCAGAAGAAGCAAATATTGAAAAAAATAACTTACCCAAATTCGGAAGATCTTGTTGAGAAGACAACGAACTAAAGAATTGTACTTGTGCCAAGAAATTAGGTTTGAAGCAAAAAAAAATATGGAGATTTTTGAGTTGTATTTGTCGATGGAAGAAAGTACAGAAATGGTTGCTTCTAGAACTATGTCGAGTATTTTTATTAGTCACTCTTAAGACTTATGAAGAATCATATGATTCATTGTTGTTCACATTGTTGGGGTTGGAGGAAGAGAGATGGAAGAACTTGATTCTTCTATTCAGAGGGGTTAGAAAATCTGGAGTCCACTTTGTGCTAATGAGGAAGATGGAGGGTTCTAGAATTATGGAGAGAGTGTAATGTCAGGTTAAATTTACCGTTTTGCCCTTGGTCATCCTCCTCTTCACCTTTCTATATAATAGAAACTAGATTGGTAAGGCCCGTGCTCAACACCAGAATAATTAAATTATTTTTCTAGCTAAGCCCAAACAGTTACTGTACAATTGTTCCTCAATAACATGATATTGAAAAAATAGAGAGAACATAGGACAAATATTGAGAGAAAAGCTAACCTGAAATAGCACAATTTAGATGAGAAAATGAAGAGAAACTCAAAGAACTGTCTTGAAAAGAGAGTATCACTTGTTGCTTTGTGCAAACTATAGAAGTATAAAAAGAAGCAGATTTGAACAAAAATTGAGAGAGAATCATACCTTAAATTGTAAAAAAAAGAGCTAAAAGTTTTCTTATGAGTTCTCTATTTAGTTTCCCAGAAGAAGCAAATATTGAAAAACATAACTTACCCAAATTCGGAAGATCTTGTTGAGAGATAACAGAACTAAAGAATTGTACTTGAAGGTGCCAAGAAACTAGGTTTGAAGCAAAAAAAAAAATTGGAGATTTTTGAGTTGTATTTGTCGATTGGAAGAAAGTACAGAAATGGTTGCTTCTAGAACTATGTCGAGTATTTTTATTAGTCACTCTTAAGACTTATGAAGAATCATATGATTCATTGTTGTAATCATTGTTGGGGTTGGAGGAAGAGAGATGGAAGAACTTGATTCTTCTATAAGAAGATGTAGGGTTCTAGAATTATGGAGAGAGAGTGTAATGTTAGGTTAAATTTATCTTTTTGCCCTTGGTCGTCCTCCTCTTCACCTTTCTATATAATTATAAAATAAAATTAAAATAATAATATATATTTAGTTATTAGTTATCTCATATTTAATTTTTTTATTTTCATTTTTAACATGGATTTTATGAATTATTCTTATGTTAGCATGTCATGAAAAGGATTATAATAGTTTGAATTTGATTTTTTTTTTTGAAACAGAATATGAAAAAAATTGAAACACAAATAAATTAAAAATAAAAAATTATGTAAAAAAACTAAGCAAACAGCTTAGTACCTGCCACGTGGCATTTTGCCAAGATAGCTTAATACATAAATTATGATTGTGTTTTGCAAATATAACTGAATATTATAACTAGGATTCTGAAAATTATAATAAATTAATAAAGTAACTTAACATAAAAAGCGATTTTTGAATGATATTTATGCATGTATTATTATTCTCTTCGTAATGATTGCTTTAATTTGTGTAACAATTGCAAATGTTATAATTCGCTTTAATTTTTAACTTGCTTAATACAAGGGGTGTTGCAGATGTTATAATTCACTTTAATTTTTAATTTGCTTAATACAAGGGGTATAAAATAGGAAAAGAGATTAACAATGAAAATTTCAGATTATCAACAATATTTTACTCTTAAAATAGTCTTTGTCTTTAATATTTTAGTTTATTTAATCGTTCATTGTATGACATGATTTAATAATATTTGGAGTTAGCTTAATTTATGTTGAGTGAGAGTGAATCATATTTATAAAATATTTGTGTTGTAAGTTTTAATTGTTATTGATAAAAAAACAAATTTAAGCACGAGTCCAAATATTGAGATCCTTTTGTAAATAAAATTATTCATGATCTAATATTCTTTATTGGAGTAGTTTGTATTAAAATTTATACATCCTCTGCTCATAATCATAAATTCTCATTCTATTTTCTCTTTTGCTTTATTCATAATCAAAAATAATTTTGAATTCAATTTTCAAGATTTATCTCACCGTTATTTAAATAAGTTTGTAATTTATAGCTTCAAATGTGTATAATCATATATTGTACTTTTACTTTAACTGACTGGAGTATTCAATATAGGAAAAAAGTTCAAAAATATCCTTAGTGTATTAGAAATGTTCAAAAATGTCCTCCTTCAACCTATTGGGTCAAACTTGTCCTTTTTTCCCATCTATTGGGTTAAAGATTCCCTTAACATATTAGAAATATTTCAAAAATATTCTTCTTCCACCTATGGATCAAAATACTCTTAATCTATTAGAATGGTTCGATATTTTCATTTTATCTACCTATAAGATTAAAAAAATCCCTTGTCATATTAGAAATGACTGTAGTTTTTTGGAAGTTGCTTGATGTTTCATCCAAAGAAAAATTCCAAACAAATCACAATGTGTAGGATATATGTATTAGACACACAAAAAAAATAATTAAAATTTTAAATTTAATTGATAAATAAAATATAACGGATTTCAAATAACTTATTAGTGAAAATTATTGAATAAAGCATATACATCGACTTATTTCATTGACCATTTTCCATGTTGATCGACTTGAGAATCTTACAGATTGATGGGATTGACGAGTAAAGCTTCGATCACAGATTTCACATTATTTTTTGGATCACTATATCCATCTTGATTGTTCGTGTAAACGACATCAATCAGACGTGTTAGGTTCACAACGCGCATCAAGATATCAGTTGGCATAGAATCAGTAGACTTAATGCACTCTTTGTTCAAATCCTTCCATGCACTTTTAGCTATTTCAGAAAGTTGTGCACTTGCTTCTTCTACACATAAATTATTTTCTTGCATATAACATTCTATTCCTGTAACAAGTTGTCCTTTTTCTTTCTCAATCTATAAGAAAAAAATATATATATATATAATTCATCATGAGAATGTTATAAAAAATCACTACTAAAAATAATGAAAAAAAATCCATTATGTGGTAGGTCCAAATAATTAAGGAAAAATCGAGTTTCTTTTTTATGGGGTCGGTCAGTTTTTATTTTTATTTTTAAAAAAAATAAATAGATAGCCATGGGTATCTATCGAGTTCCTTTTCGCGCAAAAATATATTTTTTTTAAAAAATTGACGCAATCTCTCGATTTTTAATATTTTCTTTTTTTACAAAAAAACGAAGGATAGGATCAATTTCTGAAGTGTAAAATTGAAGTTGAAGATTATAAACAAAAACTATGAAAATATTTTAGTAAAGATCATGTGTGGTCAAGAAGTAGAATTGTTCAAAATTATAGAAAATACTTGAATTTGATTTCAAGTAGCTACATTTTTTATGTATATTTCTAAAAGACTGACCATGTCTGTCGTTTTTTCATAACCAACCGACAAATAACCGTCCATGTCCATCAATTTCATAAAAGTGACGAAACCAACCAACAAAGTCGATTATATGTCGGTTAAAACTGACGAATAACCATCCCTGTCCGTCAATTTCATGAAAGTGACGAAGACAAAATCGATGATGCACAGTTTGTCATTTAAAAAAAAAAAATGACTCTGTCCATCTATTTTGACCCTCGATTTTGATCCAATTTTTAGAAGTGAATGTTTATAATATGTTGGCAAACACATATGTAAAAATTGTACTCCCTCTGTCTTTAATTACTTGTCCACTTTTAAATTGGCACACCTATTAAGAAAGAAATTATTGACATACCATTTTACCCCTATTAATTATGAAGCGGATGGATTAAAAATTTAAGATTTTCAAGAAATTATACCTTTTTCAAAGTAATTAATTGAGGGTATAATAGGTAAAATTATTTTGTCCCTCAAGAACATTTTTTACTAGTGACTCAATAACATTTTCTAAAATAAGGTAAATGATTTTATTAATGTTGGAAGAATCCCCGGTATACCAGCTCTATAACAAAAAAGTAGTCAAAATGACTTTTTGACAAAAGACTTTACTATTCAAATATCTGTGTGGTGTGGCTGTTCAACTCCTACCTACAAATGTTGAAGTACTTTTGTAAATGAAATCAAAATAACAAATGAAAGGGGAAGTTGGGAAACCAGATTGATGTAGAGAGTTCCTATCTGTCAACTGCAGAGTGTAGAGAGAAAGAAATGATCTTCTTATTTGTCTTTCCTAATTCCTTCTTTTCCCTCTTTTTGGGAGGATGTGTTTTGTTAGAGGTGGAGGTTGGTTGTGGGCAAGCCGTTAAATAAAGAGAGCGACAACTTCAGGATATATGACAACTTGACAAAGAATGCTCCAATATCATCATTTAATTACTATTATTTCAGCAGACATACCAAATAGTATCCGTAGAAAATCAAATGGTTTCTCTTCTTCATTGTTGATTGATGCAAAGAACTTTTTTGGTACCATCTGAAGGTTATCCATTTTTCTGCCAGATGCATCTGCAAAATCAAACCACATCCTCAAGAAAGAACCGGAAACTACAAGGCGAAGAATCAATATGAATCTACATCCTAATATGGGACAATGCATGGTTATTCTCTAATCCTTCATCGAGAAACCTAGAGCTTATTCTTAAGTATAATTTGCCAAAGAGACAAGAACATTTTAATAATGGAAAATGGTGACAAATGAAACCATCACTGCTACCTCTCTATTTCATGCTTGCTTTGTGCACATTGGTATTCAAGACATCAGCTCAAGAGTAGTTAGTTAATCTCATTAAACAATTAAAGTTGAGTGTATTCAGAATTGATAGAAAGAAACTTTTGTGTTTCTAAAAGGAGCACCATTCAATCTATTGAGCATTAATGCTTGAGCCATTAAGCTAGACCTATCATTACACTAAACAGTTTTGCTTGATTAATTGTATTTTCTGAAGGAAAAAGTTTTCCTTAATGTAACTAACAGAAATATTTCACTACTATCACTAGTAAGTGTCGTCTGTTCAAAACCAACAAGTAGCAGTACATATTAGCAATCAGATATGTAATTCAAAGTACATGCACTTAATTTAACAACATTACGACAACACTGTCAAATTAAAATATCAAGAAATATTAGTACGAAAAACACTAGTAATTATAATTACTTTATTCATCATTCTTAGCCACATAAGGAAATGATTAGGAGCTGATATTCCATCAAAACATCTCCGATTCCTTTCTGTCCCTACAACCCAAAAAATGCTTGCTAATATTCTTAAATCTCTAGTACTACATGTTTATTTCTTCCAGTTTGTTTATCTCATTATCTTGTTGTTGTTGCTGCCTCCTTTTCATCTGTTCGTGAGCCGAGGATCTACCAGAAACAACCGCCCTACCCTTACAAGTTAAGAGTAAGGTTTGCGTACACTCTACCCTCCCCAGATCCCACACCCCACTTGTGGAATTATACTGGACATGTACTCATTCTTAGCCACAAAGGGGACCAGTGGAACCCTACACTCCCATATATTCACGCATTAGAAGAATCACTAATATCAGTTACCCTTGCAATTTCCGGATATGATTATAGCTACACCTACCTTTAGTTTCAATCAAAACTTAACCCAGCAATTAATTGGAATTCATTATCCCTCCCACGGTCTTTCAGAAACAGCCTCTCTATATTAGTCCAAAAATCTTCCCTTTATATTAGTCCAAACTCCAAACAATTAGGCTCTTCCATAACAGTACACTCAAATCATTACTTCCTTATACAACAACCCAAAGAAAATGGTGAAAAATCAGAAAAAGTAAAACGATAGCAAAACTTACAATGTTCACTTGTAAATTACCTGTAGCAGAAGAGGAGGCTGCAAAAGAATTCTTTGTATCCAAAGCTAATGCAAAAGGCCCCATTTTGAACCTTAAAATTCTCTTTTCTTCACCCAATACCAAAAAAACGACAGAAATTTGAGACCTTTTATGATATCATTTGCAAATAAAAATGAGAACTTCAAAAACTAATAAAAAATATTAGTGGGGTTGGGGGGAAATTACCAGTTCTTGGGAAGTTGGAGTTGGAGCCTCTCTTGTTTGCTTCTGGTTCTTGAAAAGCCATTGCTATCTTATATTGTACGTGTCACAGCTGAGCAAAGTACAACTGTTTAAACAGGTGGGTACTAAAACAAATGCATGTGTTGTTTTTTCACTAAAAAAAATAATGATATAATTTATGGTTAATATAAGAAAATTTAACCATAATTTTAATTATGTTTTGTTAATATATATAAAAAGAAAAAGAGGAATTAATTTATGGGAAGAATTAAAAAATATTTGGAATGTAAAGGAGAATGGTGGGTGGGTTTCAAAAATAATTAGAATGTAAAGCGCAAGGCATAATGTGTCTTACAAGGTTGTTGTGTCAGTGCGACTTCCTCTTTTTGTCGGATGACACTGTTATAGGCGAATGGGATAAGGCATATGGGTCTTCTACACCTTTATTATTTTTGGTGTCTTCTGTGAATTGTATGTCCTTATGAAATTTTTTGATCAATCTTTTTGTCCTTTTGACTTCAGACTCAGATATATGTATATATTAAGAAGTAAGAAAAAAAATTGAAACAAATAAACTATTACTATATATGATTATGTGGTAATTAGCAACTAAAAAAAACTCATTTCATTTGGAAGCTGATATTTAGTTTTTCTTTACTTTCACGCATCTAAGGAGTGTATATACTTTTGCCACGTCAATATTTAGGACGAGGTGAAGGTTATTATTTATCAAAATATGGTCATTAATTTTAATTAATAATACAATTTATAAAAAAAGTAATTAAAAATAAGTAGGTTAATGTCAATCGTGTTCATTTTCTTTTAGCTAAACCTACAAGGCGATGATTGATTACAAGAATAGATATTGCTCAAAGGTATAGACTCTCTCATAGAATTTCTAAGGGAAGAAGATGAAAGACTAGTGTATTGTTTTTTTGGAATTCTTCGATGTCTCCCTTTGTCACTCCCCGAGCCTACACCCTGGGCGGGACTGGCACTCGAAGACCATTGCTGGCCCCAAGCGAACCCTTGGCCTGACTTACTTAACTCAGTGGAAGACTATATGCATATTTATAATAGCACAATACTCAACTTAACTAATGAAATAACTTAGAATGTTTAATAGTCAACATTCAACTTGGCCAAAATGGCAACTCAAGTCTTAACATATGAAAATGGTAATATAGAGACAACTGAACTACTAACTGACTGACTATCTATGAAGCCTCTAAAACAACTGAGATGGATGTTGGGACAGACCCCACAACATCCTAATAAGCTAAACCAAAACTGAAACGAAAATGGATCCTCCGGAATGCAAGGTGGCTCACCAACTGACTCTGAACTGCTCACTGGATCAACGGTGCGTCGGAATGCCGATCCTAGCTACCTGTATCTGCATCATAATACGATGCAAGCCAACTGGCATCAGTACATTGAATGTACGAGTATGCGAGTTGGAATGCTAAAACAACATAGGCTTGAAAAAGATTATGAAAGAAACACTTACCTTGGCTCTTCTCAACTCCTGAATACTTAAATAAACTCATTTCATTATAGGCAATTTAAAACAAGTGCAATATAACATGCTGTCAATTCATAATCATAATGTCATAAAAAGACAAACCATGCTCCCTCTCAAAGTCTACTTGTGCAATGCATGAATGAAGTGTCATACCCCCATTCACACTAAGCAGAACCCCTTGAGGAACCATGCTACTACTGTTGTGGGAGTTTCTCTATCACTTAAGAACTATAGTGATGATACATTGCTTTACCTCATGCTGCCGAGGCCCATCCTATACCTTGCCGTGATATAGGAAGCTAACTCACTAAGTGGATCCACTAGTCTATGCGAAAATGATTCATCTAAAAAGTATGAACCTTTTCTACCCATGATGGCTACATGGTTTATGGAGACTTGAGTTAATATGAACTCGCATCCTCATATCGGTGCTCAATACTAACTCCCAAAAAATATAATATACTTAGTTCTTTATGTTTAAAAAAACATACTTCTTCTGTGAATTGAGATTAGTGCTCAAAAACTTAGCTCAAAGCTATCTAGGAAATCTCAGTTTCCCTGCTTGCTTCATTTAGAAAGCTATTTCTCTTTTCTGAAAACTAGCCCGAAGGCTCTTTGAAAATCTCAGTTTCTGTTCTTATTTAAATGTAAAAACATTTAAAAACTTCTTTGGGAATACTTAGTTCCCTAATAGCTTTTGAGAAATGAACTCAACTCTTTACTCTTTGCTTAACTTGAAACTTTCAGCATTAACATATAGGTAAACTACCTTCAAGTGGAATCTTGTGTTTTTGATATATATCGACAGATCCAAGACGTTGTTATATAGGCAAACTACCTTCAAGTGTACAATATGCTTGCTCAAGGTCAGATTGTACAGCAGTGGATTATGGAGGATCATGCAACAAGTTAGATGGAGATGAAAATGTTTCATATGCATTCAACATGTATTTCCAAATGAATGGTCAAGATGTGGAATCTTGTGTTTTTGATGGATTGGCACAAATTGTGGAGAAAAGTGCGTCTGTTGATAATTGCTTATTCCCTATTGGTTTGGAGAGTGTTGGAGTAAGAATTGGTTTGGATGCAATCCTTAACATTCTTTGTTGGTTTCTTCCTCTTTTTGACACTTCTCTAAAAGAAAAATTGACATATTAATTTCAATGTCATGTATTAGACATTTGTATGGTTTGAAATATATAATTAAGATAAAGTACTACTACTACTATTTACTTTGTTAAAAAATTTAGGTGTCTCATTTTGTATGTATATTTATATTACCATATGACACTCAAGTTTTGTTGTATGGGAAGGAATAAATGTACATAAACTTAAAATTTCTTTAAAAATTTTGATTTTTTTTTAAAAAAAGTTTAAGATGGGTATATGCACTTTCTCTATGATGATGCTATGATATTGGATTGTGTAGAGAATAATTAATATATATTTTCTGAGAAAGTGGGTAAAATATTGGAACATTAATAATAGAAAGTAGATTAATATAATGGTTAATTAATTTTGGGACCAATGTATTAGATAGTGGTAATATATATAAGTTTTTGTAGCATATTAAGAGTTTCTTATGCTTAATTATTTCGTATTCCCCTTCCCTTTCTCTCTTGATTCATTCGTAGATATCAAGTGTAATTCTTGTTGAAAATAAAAATACATGTGTAACGACCCTCTTAGTCGTTTTATGATTTTAACCATTATTTTTATATTAACCCTTTCTGGTAGCTTTTATAAATAATTTATGGCATATAAGAATAAGAGACACGATTTTCAGATTTAATAAAGGATTATTTTGTTGCTAATAATAATAGAAAAAGAAAATAATAGAAATATATAAATAAATAAATGAATAAAAGAAATAAGGGCCAAAAGCCCTAACTGTTGAAACTTGAAATACGCAGAGGAGAAAAAAAAAAGAATTAACAAGAGCAGCCATGGATGGAAAACCTAAAGTCTCATTACGGCAAGTAATTTCAGGTACAAGCTTATCTAAATTCTCAATTCTATATCTGATTTCTTGTGCATGATGGATACCATTACATTATTACGGCATGTTATAATTTAATGACATTATTATTAATTAATATTAGTTAAATTAAATGAAAAGTGGCGTGCTACGGAGTAATGGCTGGAAGTCGGCGATGATTAATTAATAGTATCTTAGCAATTAGATTAGTATTAGAAAAGAAATAAAATGATTTCAAATTGGAATTCTGAATTGCTGCAACGTGGTGCTCTTATGGTATAACTAATTAGTTATTAGGATGAAGGATTTAATCATTAGGTAATGATGGCAATGATATATATAGGATTGGATTGTTGTACAACAGTTTCAGTTTCGTATATAAGTTCTCATATCTTCGGCTCTTGATATAGTTTAGTTCTGGATGTGCTTGTTCTTTCGTAGTTGAAATTTCGTAGTACAACATCATATTATAAATCAAGTTCTGGTAATAATTGAGATATGTAATAAAATAGTGGGTGTATTGTGATATATAAAGATCATTAAAATTATGTTATTTAGAGATATTGAGACTAAACCCTAGGCTTGAAATTTGGAAAAGAACTTGAAAGAGTTGACATATTAGTTGGTATCAAGATTAGGATAACTTGATTATAGAATCGATGTGAGTTTTTGGGTCTAGGCTTAGACCTGTAGTGATATGGGTGTTGTTAGTTTTGAAATCTTATTGTGGTCATTTATTTGAATAAATTGTTTTGATTTGGAAATTCAATGAAAGGGGAAGACTCAAGTCCCAGAGTGATTGTTCGACTATTTGAGGCAAGTGGATTTCTAAACCTTTGTTAAGTGTATGGAATTTGTGTATTTCCTTGTAATATAGTGTTTGGGGGTAATGGGACTTGGTGATGGGTTGACTTGTCCACATTGATTAATTCTAATAATGAAAAAGGGGTAATAAAAGACAATGTGATTAATTGTTTGTGTGTGATGTATTGAGAATTGTTGGTGATGGGCATTGGTACGAGTACCGATGTTATAAAGGGAAAAGTTTATTACTATAGAATGCGGATTGTAATCCGAGAATGCCAAAGCTTATGGTATCAGAGCCCCAGGTTCATATAAGAAAATTTAACCATAATTTTAATTATGTTTTGTTAATATGTATAAAAAGAAAAAGAGGAATTAATTTATGGGAAGAATTAAAAATATTTGGAATGTAAAGGAGAATGGTGGGTGAGTTTCAAAAATAATTAGAATGTAAAGCGCAAGGCATAATGTGTCTTACAAGGTTGTTGTGTCAGTGCGACTCCTTTTTTTGTCGGATGACACTGTTATAGGCGAATGGGGTAAGGCATATGGGTCTTCTACACCTTTATCATTTTTGGTGTCTTCTGTGAATTGTATGTCCTTTTGAAATTTTTTTATCAATCTTTTTGCCTTTAGACTCAAATATATGTATATATTAAGGAGTAAGAAAAAAAAATTGAAACAAATAAACTATTACTATATATGATTATGTGGTAATTAACAACTAAAAAAAAACTCATGTCATTTGGAAGCTGATATTTAGTTTTTCTTTACTT